CCAGCTTAACCCAGCAACACAAGACCACCAGCATTGAGCCCAGCAGAAGAAAAAAAATACATTTTTTTCTAATTTTGCCGTTTTAGACGTTTGTTTTGGGATTTCAATTTTCCCTATTTAATGTTATCAGCATCACTCGCCACTACCTTCCATAAGCAGGCTTAATCAAACCGAGTCTGAAGCATTTTCTATTTTGTTTGTAGGGTTATAGCAATGGGTTATTTGTTGCTATAAAGTTTTATACGTATACATTGTTTCTGAAAACAAAGTTAAATGTGATTGAAACTATTACAGTGGTTCCAACAACTATTTCCTCACCACAGTTTGAACCGTACCAAAGATGGTAAATATCAAGGATGCTATTTGTGTTTAATCAGAGGTAGAACATCAAACGTCATGCGGTAATTGAGCTGAAGGGAAGGAAACCGCAAAGAACGTTCTTTTAAACATACAAAATAAAAGAGAAAAAATGAAAGAAAAAGAAAGAAACAACTAATTGTACATTATTGAATAACCCAGTACGTGAACATTGACTTTTTTAACATTGAATTATTTTGGTACACCAAATGTATAAAAATTGAGGAAAACGGAATTCCTAAAGAATGTCAAAAACGATAAAATTAAAAATGTTGCAGGCTCGGTTTGATTGAGCCTGTTCATGGACGGTACTGGAAAGTGCAAGTTACCGTCCACGCCCCCACCGGCTTAAGCAGAATTCAACATTTAAACACGGAAATGGTGAAGATACTGCTTTTAAATTCATATTTTATTGGTATCAAGATTATAAATTAGAGGCGTGTCTAAGTGACATACAAATTGTATAATTTAAACAACAATATATTGCTTTAAAATATATACAAAATTCTTGCGAAATTAATGTTTCCAAATATTTCATGGCTTTTCAGTAACATGTTTGTATTGCGTTTAAGCTTGTTATAATTTCCAGTTCTCCTAAATACCTATCTAAGCATAGAAGAAAGCAAAGAGGAAAATGGCAAAAATGTAATTGTAACATAGCCTTTGCACATTTTCAGGTTTTTCCTTTTTTGGGCGTTCTATCAAATTTGTTTTTCTCTGTTTTATTTTACTTACACTAGTTTGAAAATACGGACTAGAGAAAATGGGTTAATTGGTTGATTTATCAGATAATTATGAAGTAAATGATAAATGAGCTTCTCAATCCAACAAGGATAGAAAAACTGATACTAAGCTATTTCGCTATATGTATTTATAGCAAGCAATTAAATGCAGTGCATGAAAGTAACGGTCCAAAATTACTGTTAAGTCTGTGATTTGAAGGAAATATATAAAACTTCTTTAACTTTAAAAATTGTACAGTAACTGTTTCTGTTATAGAACTGTGAATTAAAACGGAATACATCTTGATTTTCTTGAATATTATAATAAATTATTATTGTTGTTGAATTTATACGATGGTAATTGTAATTGCTATCCCTTTTATCACATTTCCCGTGCCGGTTTTACGGCTCAGTAAAAAGATCTTTCTAGCAAGGCCAAATGTAACAAATGTAATTGGTATACAAAAAGAACGTCAACGAAAATAATGAGTATTTGTTAACTGTAATAAGTTTTTATTTTTTAGTACTTGAGACATAAAAATTACATCCGTGTTGCCATATTACTTTATTATTGACCTTTTACCTGTTGAATAAAATTTTGTTTTATTCAACTCAATGAATAATGTTTGGAACAAACATTCATTAAATAGCCTGTTTTTCTTATTAAAAAAAACAAAAATAAAGTCCAGCAAGGAAATAATTTTTATATTTACTTTTTGAATCGCTAATCAAGTGCATAAAATGTAATAAACAGGAAGCAAAAAGGAACTAATCAAAAAAGGAACATAGAAATTATAATTCAAATTATTGAAACACAAAGTTAGTTCATTTTTTGCATTTTGCTGTTTTAATTTTTCTTTTCGAAAACAATACAGAACTTCACCGTTTTTAGCGTATCATGAAATAACAAAATAATAAGAAGAATAAATGGAACATTTATTGTTGATATTCCTCGTAACAAAAGATCGCATGAATCTTTATCGTGACTTTATTCTTAAATAACACAGGGATAACCTTTTTAATTTATTGACAAACTTAACACTTTAAGCGACTAAGGTTAGTTTAGTTTTCTAGTTTAAGACACACGCATATTTTAACTGAGGCGGTAAACAGATGCTTCTAAATTAAAGTTTTTACCATAATCATGCGTAAATGTTACTGTTTAAGCCGTTGCTAGGGGCATTACGATAGCATGCACCTATCACTACCGTCCATGATCAGGCTGGTTCAAACCTGCAATTTACAATTTAGTCGTTTTAATCTTTATTTTGGGATTCCTTGTCTCTCTTTAAACCAAATTGGTTGCTTACCTGGTATTTTGTTTGAGAACAAGATACCATTTGTTATCGTCCGATCACAATTTGACACAATCAGTACGAGTAATACAATCAGCACTTGTTAATATAATTTCTGCTTACCTCTTAGTAGCTAAGAAATTTAAAAAAAAATACTCGTTATATTAAGTTTATTTATTGGTTCATCCCATACTCCGCGGATTTTGTCTCCTACGTTTTTGTTTGATGCCCTACTGTGTACGTTTGTAGTGAACCTACTTAGCTAGACTCTGTGTTCCTCAGATGTTTGTCTATGTTGTTTTATACTGTTTTGGTGACACTTCTGTGTCTCTTGTTGTTTTCTCGTCTACGGTGAGTATCTTCCCCTTTGCCCCTAGTTTTTATTTATTCTATTTATCCCCCCTCCCTCGGTCTTATGTCCCCTTCCCCCCGCCCTGGGTCTCATGTCCCCTTCCCTTCCCCGGTGCCTTTTGACTTTATGGGCCTTATATTCAATCATTTATTTGTTTTCTTTTAGTTCCTTATCAGTTACTAATTATTTATTCTTAGGTGTGGTTTGCCTGCCCGTGCTCTGCCTTGTGCCCTTTCCTGTTTTGTTTGAGGTCCTCCTGGGCTCCTTGCCACTGGCTCTTGTTACTGGGTCGGGTGGGGGCTGCGTTCATTGAACGCCGCCTTTCCTTGATAATCTTGTTTATCATATTTGCCGGGACTGCTTTCTTATTTTGTTATTATACAACATTTTTGCATTGTTTATACGATCACAACTATAAAATTTATGTAAGCATGAGTGAATCTTTAAACAACTTCATTAAAAATTAAATGTAGGATGGGAAAATTAACAGATATTTTATAATTAGCTAAACCATGTCAAATATATTAACATTATAAATTAAAATCCGACAATAATTCAAAATAACATATTATGAAACAAATGTTTTCCATGAAATAAAATAATGCTTACGATTTCAATACTTGCTATAGAAGGATATCTTTAAATTTCGACCAGCATTTCTTTCGTTACTGAAAGTTATTAACCAAGATAAAAAGAAATATCAAATTTACATTTGTTCTACAATCATATGATTTTGTAGACATGACACATGTATATGAGTGTTTGTTAAGATATTTAAGTCGATTCTTTTCACTGTAGAAGCTTAGTTTAAACGACGATTAATATATATCACTTTCCTATCGCAGCAGGGAGGCATTTTTTTGCTTCTTTAGCATATTTAAGAGGATTACAAACGCCTGACTATTTAAATAGCTTGGTTACATATCGGTTAATAAACATAACGATGCATTTTACTTTTTGGTAAAACAACAAACTGTTGATTAATAGAAAAATCAGTAAGGTGCACGGCTCTACCTTTTGATAAAATACTTTTAGTACGTAATATATAATAAGAAAAATATTCCAATTATTAAAAGTGTGTACTATATACCATTTCAACACTATCGAGGCAACGCTCAGATATTTTGTGAGGTCGATATAACATAAAGAAAGAATTTTATAGATTGAAGATGAAACGTGATCAAGGAGATATGTATTGTCATTAGTATATGAAAGATATATGAAGTAATCATATCAATTATAATTCTCGAATTTAAAAGCTTCCTTTCTAAATGAAAGACTGATTCTATGCTAAGGTTATTTCTACTGCCATTATCTATAGAAATAGTTTTTCTTTGAGAAATCCTGTGCACTGTAGATATATCATTAAGCAAACCAAGTACTTGAATAGTCTCAATCATCAATTTATGGGAGGAAATATATTTGCAACGGCGAAGTACAATTTATTTTAATTATCACAATAAAACAGCTGCTTTCTGTGGTATAAAATGCTGAACTTTTGTTGAACAAATCTATAGTACAACCTCAAAACACCATTTCAACAAAGGAAAAAGTAGTATCATTGACTTTCCTGCATCAAATATATTTTACGTGATTATAAAACCAATTTGACTTATTTATTTTCCTCATCATTATAATAAAACAGTTAATAACAGTTTATTTCCAATGATATTAACACTAATACACAATTTAAAATAATATTTTACAAATTTTATTTCTCTATTTATGTTGGGAGGTTACCTTCCTTATTCACCATAAATGGCTACTTTTCAAGAAGATAGACGGTCACCATGAAAAGATCTACCTTTTCAGTTCGCTTTTATTATGTAAAACTCTAAATTTCACTATCACAGTCTATAAAAATAGATGAAAAAAGGCATTAACAAATATAATATAAACTATGAAAAACAAGATCAACAAGAAAGGGTGTTATTCAATGAACGCATTACTCAACACAGGACCACCAGCAAGGAGCCCAGCAGTGAACTAAACATGACGGGGTACATTTGAAAACTTCTGACGGGATACTTTTGCTTATATAATTACGTACTATATCTTTTTTAATTTTGAACATTTGTATCATGGCATAAATGGTATAAACATGTCTTAAATCTTGAATGGTGGTATGTATTAAGAAAATATCAAATGTAAAGTTTTTCTTCTGTATATACTATATTTAGATATCTGTAATTTTCGTGTCTTATTAAATGGGTCACAAGTAAAGTAATACGTACCGTGTATCACCTTATATCACCTTTCGTGACTGTCTGTCAGAACACTTTACAGATAAGACTTGCCCTACTATATAACAACTGATCTTTTGTTTTCATCTTAGATTAGCACAGGACACAGTTTTGGAATAATTATGATCCGTACATTAGTATTTGGCTTATTTTGCGTGGCATTTGCTATGGTAATTATGCAATTATATTTAATTGACGAAGAAGAGTTACATTGATATGGATTTCTTACTTAAAAGTGTCTTTGATCAACTCAGTATTCTTTTATATTTTTTTGTTGAACTCAATATTTTATATTTTTATAAGATTAAATACTGCTTAGTCTTTTTAATTTCTATGAAACATACCTTCCATAAGCGAAACAAAATGCTAAGTGATGGCCTTCTGATTGCCGTGTCAGCCTTTCAACTAATTAACATATATTATACTTATCTATATAAGTGATTTAATATCATTATCATAAATATTTTATTTTATTATCTAGTCTATGACGACTACGCACAAGCCTCATCATGGACACCATGGTACAGGACCTACAGTTGAACCCGCTGAGCATGAGAATTTCAAGTTTGTGTATGAGCCACACTCGGTAGGAAGATCTTTTAATTTAATATTTTTTTAACTGTTTCATTACTTCAAATTGTCGCTGTTATTTTGCGATGATAATTAAAAAAAAATGATTTTCAAATATTTATTTTAAAAAATGGCTCATTACTTCTAATTGTCGTTTTTATTTTGCTTTTATTTTATTATCAAAAGATTGATTTTCAAAGAATACCATATTGAAACTTTTTGTTTAATAAAGAATTTATTTTGGAATAAAATGTTTCTTGAGTGCCAATCACAAGTATCAGAAACTTAGTACTTATGGGATATTGACACTATCGAGCGGTTATTCACTGATACTAAAATGACAACTACAAAATTAAGCAATGACTAACTTGTGCGAGTTCATGCCTTTTCAACAAATTGATCATAGAGGTTTCCCATGTCGATTTCTGTATGTGTGATTATTGTTGTCTAATGCCATACCAAGATTCAAAATCATAATAAACCATCAAGTCCGAAGATGTTATATCACAATATGATAGACAATTACATGACGGCCAGATTTGCTGTGTTGTTTTTCCATTTTTAAACATTATATTGAATTTTTGCAGCAAATGATGTTAGTTGTTAATGGACACAAATGTTACATCTTCTCCCTGTCCGATTCAGAGAGAGCTTCAATACACACTGACGCCGGCATTAGGGCTGTTGAGGTACATGTGTTTGTTTTTTAAATAATAAGATATACGGGAAATACACATACGTCAATTGTGCCAAATGTCATTCTTTACTTAAAAGGAAATTAAAAAAATTACTTTACTTAAAAGGAAATTTTAAAAAATTACTATCAGTCTTATGAACATTTTCGAAAGTATTTAAACAGCAAGTCTCCAGATTCATGCTATTGTTCAATGGGCGGGTCACCTCGGGACGGATATTCCGGTCCGAACCGTTACATATGACAGATATTATTAATACTACTATATTATATGTTAGACAATGTGCATACTACATGTATATTAAAATAGAACGAAAATGCACACTAACATGTTTTGTTTTTATGGTAAATTATGTCAGAGACTCTCGATTTCTTTTTGTTAATTGAATTTAAAATTCATACATTTCAGTTAAAACTTCTGAGCACATTGAGCACTGCAGCTGTTACCGAGGTTACAAAAGACCAAATCCCTGCAAAGACTGCTCATGTATGTGGAGGACATATAACCAACTATTACACTCAAACTACTGTGTAAAAATGAGATAACAATAAATGCCATTTTACTATTTTGTTTTAGTAATAATATCTATGTTATTATGTCTGTTCATGTTACAAGTTTGTGTAAAGTTAATTAAAAGAAACTTAAAATGTGTTTTACTACTGTAAAACACTTATTTTTCGCGAGAACCTTATTTCGCGAATTTGAGGCAAAATGTCCAAAATAATTATTTCGCGTCAACATAAATTCGCGTCTTCCCGAAAAATGTGAAACCAGAAACCCGATTTCATTCAGATATTTTCTGTCCTGTCCGTTCACTAACTTTGCATCGTTTATTGTGCGACGAATGCCTTTATATCTGTATCGATTTTTCTGCTAGCTTGCTAATCTTCTTGTTAAGAGAAACCGTCTGTCTAAAAATATGTCAATAAAGTTTGATAATTATTTGATATGTGTTCACTGTGTTTGTCACAGGTATTGTTCAATAGACATTGACCTTGATCAATTGTGTTAGAAATTTAATTAATCCATTAAGTTGGACAGATTTTCACATTAATTAGAACAATCTGTAGAAATACCATTTAAATTTTGTGAGACGCATTAATTTGTTTATACTTAATTCTAGTTCAAGTCACACTTACCTTCCTTGACACAGGTAATATGCAGCGAAGAAGTTTCTTTCCAATTCCTCAATAATACCAAATTGTTACAGATAAATATTTCATACTAGTAATCTCTACGATATGTATATGCTGCAACACTTGATTAGCTACATGATGTACGATACTTTCCCGCAGATATATATCCATGTGTACGCATTTTCGGATAGTGTTCATTTTCGGACAAGTGTATAGACAAAGTGAAATATTCGCGAGAAATATGAATTCGCGTCTTAGAAAACTCGCGAATATTAGCGAAAATAAATTTCTCGCGAATAATAAGTGTTTTACAGTATGTGTTAGAAAGGTGAAGAATACTGATTCTCTGTCACTTCCACCACACCACTGTTTATACACTTCGTTATTGATAAATTCAGAATGTGCTTGGAAAAAGGAAGGCAAAGATTATAAAATTTAAATATGTGTTCGGTATATAAAAGATATTTCGGTATAATTTTATGTTTCTGCTCTAGTAAAAAGGTGTTGGTAACATGATATGTAATGTAGCCAATATTATACGTTGTACGGTAATAAAATAGAAATTCTTAAAGTTTTATATCTATATAAATTGATAATGTAACAATAAGCAAATTAGAACCACAAAAAAATCAATATATGTCTTAAACTATACAAAAAAATGTTGTTAACCCAGTTTTCATGCGTGTGATTATGCCGTATTGTTTTAATCATTTAATACAACTAACAAGATAGAGAAATTATTTTCTTCACATTGTCTGTACGAATTCTTATGTACTCATGGTAGTTGTTGTACAAAATGTTTTGCTCTTAAAATTACTTTGCAATTCGCGTTCTTGCAATTACAGAATGCGGTTAGGAATAGACCTTGAACCAAGACCTTCCCTTAAGTTTGCGCATAGTTTCTTACCTGAAATCCAATATTTAGACGCTTGCGCTTTAGTAAAGTATGTTGTTTTGTTCAAGGGTAGTTGTCATGTAATATTTGGTAATGGTCGACAATTTTTTATTTAAGTGCTCATGTCTAAACCCCAACGCCCATAACAACAAAAAGATAAATTTATGTTGTTTTCCAAAACGTGTCTTAGAAACTGGAGAGAGAAAATATCAACATACAGTGTCTTATATGTGTTTACCGCTGTTATTCCAGTTTGGATAATTCCATATAATAAAATTTCCCCAGTATCTTTTTACATACGACGTCTGCATATTTATAAATTGGGCTGCATCAACGATTTATAAATTAAGTAAGAGGTTTTTCATTGCATATTAATTTTAAATTACACAATATGTTTATCCAGCCTTAACTATACCTTTTCACATATATTTAAGTAAGTGTCACCGAGACAGTTGTTAGACAAAAAGTTGTTAATGGTCATTTACTTCAGATAAAGTTTGGTTAAGCTTCTAAAGACAGTAAGTGATTCTGACTGAGATAGATTGAAGGTGTCAAACCTTCTGTCTGCTCATACTATTATTATTTTACAATCTGATTGTAATTGTTGGGCCGTTTGTAGCTTTTCAGTTTTAAGATACTTCTTGTTCATCAGCCAAACGATTATCATAAAGATGTAATTGTGGCTGATTTTAAATGTGTTTTTCTTCTGGTGAACTTTCGTTCTAGATTCGATTTATATAGGTCCATAATTGTTGGCATATTGAACGGTACTTGATTTAAATAAAGGTATAATGAGTGCAAGGCTCAACTCATCCGAAAATATGTCTGTCTACTGTTAATTCTGAAGGCTTATGCTAGCGTTATTTATAAAATAGTAATTGTAACCATTTATTAATCAATTTGACGAAATATTATCCGTAAGAATATCATTAAGATACATTTATTTATGTTTTGGGTGATGTTGAAATATCAGAGCTGTTTAGATCCTGTAAACATTTGTTGAAAAAAATTTCTTTTTTTTTCTTCATTACTCAATTTCTACATTTTTAATTAACAGTAATCTTTACAAATTGATCATAAACATGACTTATCCGCGACGAAAATTGAACTTGATGAAAATATTTCGTTTGATTTCTTTTGAAGTGATGTTGTACTTGTTCCTTATAAATGAAAAGAATATGAAATGTAAGACATTATAATTTATATTCATGTTTCAGAAACACGCTACCGATATCATAAATAAAATTAAGAGCGAACACTGTCCACTTGAAAGAGTAACAAAATTGAACAGAATAATTATTCGATATTTTAGTCTTTAATCTAGTACACTAATCTTAGCGGATTTCGTCTGTTGAGAAATCATTGTAGAGTATTCTGATTTGTTGAGTAAGAAATTCCTTAGAGATGAAAATAATTCTATAATGCTAACTAATAAGGCTCGATCTACAAATGCACAAGATATAGGGATCAGTTTCTCTATTGGTATGAAATAATTTGTGTCTTAAATGATTTTATTAAACAAACAGAGGTAGCATTTAATCAAAACAAACAATTTTATGTACTGTATCACTATATTTATAACTAAAACCCTCTTAATATATGAATGCTCTCACCGCTGTGGATTCTTATCCCGTCCTGGACATAGAAATTTTTCCTGTAATGAAACTACCGAGAATAGGTGATTCTACTCAGGTTTTCGGTGGTATTGCTAGAAGCAATCTAAGGTTACAAATGAAATCTTGAAATCGTGAAGTTAAAACCGTAAATTCGAGAAATTGAAATCTTGAATTCATGATGTTGAATTCGTGAAGATGAAATCTTGAATTCATGAATTTTAAATCGTGAATTCGTGAAGTTGAAATCGTGAATTCGTATTGTTAAAATTGTAAATTCATGAAAATAAAAATAGGAAGTCATGAAGTTGAAATGTGCTCATCGGTCTTTGGTAGTGGACACGACCGTCCCTTCAATTTCTGAAATTTCTTTTTAATATCATTTTAATTTTGCTGATTATTCTTATCAACAATTAGGATTATTCAACCGATACTCGAAGCAATACTTAAAAAACCAAATTGAAATAAAATATGTTGCATTACATGTATGTTTAAAGAGAATATATCAAATTTTAAAACTTGTTATTTGTTTGTTATATTTCATTATACAATATTATTTTGATTGAAAAAAAACCAACAATGTTGTTAATTATCTGGAACATATGTGATGTAAGGTGTGTCTTAAGACACGCAAATATAAATCAGTGATCATTACCGCATATAGAAACAAAGCTAAATGTTTAATACTGTTCAAATTTGGTCATTAAATAACAAAAACGATTAAATTACTCGTGAAATATGCGTGTCATTTCCGTGAAACAAAAATTCCCATTTTAGCATATATTTATGATTTAACTATAAATCTTAAAAAAAAAGAAGAAGAATTTCCGCCTTTTCACTGGACAATAAAAATAAAAAAGGTCCTTATTACTAAAACGTCGCTGTTCTTACATCATTTAACGTGAATTCTATTTTAGAATTTTATCACTAACTTTATATACTTCAACGCCTGGAATAAAAGCATAAATTAGGTCAGGTTTCCTATTACGCAAATGAAAGTACACCAACGTAAAATTTTGTCTCTCTTTATTTTTTATTAAATAAATAGGTGGAACTATTATATCAATGATATCAAAGGAAACAACAAATTACCAAAAAGTTGATGCTGAAAAGCATTATGCCCCAGAAATGCAGAAGCACGACTTCACATAAAAAGGCCGAGCCCGCAAGTCAAGAGATTTGATAAGTCCAAGAATTACTGCAAATTTAAACGCACGAAGGTGCATAAGCGCTTGTTTTGCAACGTTTGATTAAATAATTTCATTGCTAATAAAAAAAGACATGCCACATCGGTGTTTAGTCACGTGAATCTATCCGATGATGCATGTTTTGTGTTATTTTTTCTCCCTTAAATGTATACCTGCGTGCGCAGTTATTATGCAAGAATACAGTTTGTCCAATAGAAGAACGGTATTTTTTTTAAATTAATAAATTTTGATAGACCAAACTATGATGTTTTATCATTACAGTTATCAAAACATTGAACTGCTTTCAGTCGTCGGCTTTGGCTCGTTGATTGCATGCACTCCGACTTATTGGCCAGTAAGATGTTAGGAAGGTCTAGCTATGTACTATTTTTCAAAAGATTTTCTAGTAGATATAGTGATTTGAAGTCTATTTGAGTATTTAATAAGTAAAGGTGAATTCAACTTAAAATAACACAAACACAACTTGAGTTGCATAAATGCAATTCGGTCAATATGTCTAAGCGTTTGTATAAACAAAGTATACCTTTTACATGTCGGTCTATCCAAATTACATAATTATGTAGATTGAATTTGATTACGTTTCTTGCGTTGACATCGGTAACTGTCTTTAAATTAAATCTGATTATAAAGTCCATATCATTACATTTGAGCCTTTTAACAGAGAGCTGTTTTAAACGATACATTTAAATTTGTTGTTTCTCGTAAAGAAAATATACATCCTTCATCAGTTATCTTTCATTGTTTATATCTTTTCTGTCTTAATTTAAGCCCATAAACTGATATTTTAATGAACGATTTCCCGTCTTTTAAAACATTACTAGCTACAAAGAACATATCATCACGCGAACAAGCTTTCCCTTGATAAATAATTTCATTTGAATAAAAGATATTCTGATAGCATTTTTTTTTGTTCGGTTGTTCGGTACAAGTTAATATTCCATTTATTTTAATTTTAATCAAACAAATAATTTTGGATAGAATTTAAGTTGTTTTCTTCGATATAAATTTTGTCTCTAAGAAAATATGAATGAAAATAATCAGCATGGAATTACATAAAGCGGCTTCAGCTTTATTTTTAGTTGGACAAACAATTCTGTACTGTTGCAAACTAAGTACTTAGTAATATTACCTAGGGACAGTGCACTTCCCCTATAACAGCTACCCACACGTAGTGATTTTTATTTCTTAAGAAACGAATCGGCCGCTTTACCAATTTACATAAATAGAACGGAATGGTACCTTAGAGGGTTTCTTTAAGTTATTGTTTATGTATTTTATCGACGGCAAATTTCATTTACGTCTTAATTCTATTGAATTTATAATTATATTAAATGATTAACTCAGAAAAGCAGAAGGCCGCTTTAAAATTATGTCCTTTTATAATAAATGTATAAACAATATAAAAAAATCATATCGAAGAAGAAAGTCTATATAATGCAATAAAATATAATAAATAAAATCAATACAAAACGAATACATATTTCTCAGACTTTTTAATTCATTAGTATGTTACTCTGTTTCTGTATTAAGAAGCATTACACTCATTAGTGCTGGTTCGTTCAAGAAACGGATTCAAGACTGTTTCAATAAACTAATATATAGCTTCACACACAATCGAACTAAAATAATTCCGTGTAATTAAAACTTAACTAACGAAACTTACCTTTTTAAATATTTGAGCACGTTGCCTCATATGCAATGGCGTATGCAACAACGTATGCCTTATACAGCGAATTTAGGACATTGCTGCTTTTATCGATCAACCCTCTTCTTAGTTAGCGAGATCTCGTAATTCATCGAGATTGTCTCAGTTAATGATTAAAAACGTTTAGCGTGATTAAAGATAATATGAGAATTGTCAAAAGGAAATAATCATTTCGTAAGATATAAAGTTCATTTAAAACGTTTGTGGTGTTTTGAATAACTGGGTGACGTAAATTGTCGCTGTCAGCAATTACATTTTTTATCATTGCACAATTATAAATAGCACAATTCTGAGAGGAATGTTGTGGAAGAATTTATGGAAGTATGAGCAACGAAATGACATTCGCTCTATCAGCAAATTTGTTTCATTACAGTGTAATGAATAAATTTGCTGTATAATTATGATTTAATGACAATTGGTCATAACTTTAAAACGCAAATAAGAGATACTTGAAACTATAAGCATAATAAGTTGATATAATTTAGATGTAAGAAACTTGATTTAATACATTATTTTAATTTTATAACATGCAAAAAAATAACATAGCGATGTATAAAATAACGGACAGTGAGGGTAACTTAATTTTAACATTTACTGATTTGGCTTTTACGGCCATTATAAATGATACATTGCAACGACCAAATGAGGTAAAGTGTTCAATTCAGAACTGTACGAGTACGATGCTGTAAAATTCTCCTAAAATAAATACATTAACGATTCGTAATTACATATCATTCATCGATTGGCAGTTAAATACTGGATCGTGTGGGGTTGCGTTCATTGAACGCTGCCTTTCCTTGTTGATCTTGTTAACCATATTTTAAAGACGTGATATCAGAAGCGTTATAAAAAGTATAATATTCTAAAGCTATTGGTATATAAAATCGCCTTATGGTATAAAATACGCGAGCTAAAAAGCAGCTTATTAAAATTAATTCTGTTTTAAATTAATGGAACATGACAAGGCTTGATTTTTAGCATGTTATTTAGGTCAATACCAATAGCTAGTGTGCACATTTTGAGATCATTCCGTGGCACATTTTTTTTCCAGAATCATAATTTTAATTGTGCAAAATTGTTATCTTGTAACTCTTTTGCTAAGATTCACGCAAAATATATTTCTGAGCATATTTATTTGTATTTATTTTTCAGATTTATTTCCATTTTAAGTGCTTAACGTGATCTATGCAAGAAATCAAAATTTTATGTTTGTTGGCTTTTAAACCTCAATGAGCTCCTTTTATGTCATTTCGTATAAAATTAAATTAAAATAAAGTTCCAAATGTCCACCCCTGGTGTCACCTGTTTGAAATAACGTACTCGTACCGTCTGCGTCTGCGAACTTGTTAAGTTTGTTCTTGATATGAAATAATTATATGAATTTTGCTGAATAATTAAGATTTAGTGGTCCGAAAAAAGTAATATCTGTCAGTTTTTTCCATATATCAATCTAAATAGTTAAACCTTTTGTTAAGAGTAACAATATTTAGTGACATTTGATCTCGGACATTGTGTCTAATGGTTATATGGCTTTCACCGCTGATTCAGAAATCATATGAGATAAGTAAAGAAATAAGTAATTACTGGTTAGGTATCAGGGACAGCCGGTTTGGTTGATCGACAACCGAAATATAACCAGAATTATGTGTTTAAATCGGCGTTAAAATTCAGACTAACAAAACTGTGATATTTGTACTATCACTACCCGCTTCTTTTCCCTATTGAACATAGAAGGACCGAAGGTGTGTGTAAATATGCAATATTATCCCTGTTGATGATTTATGTTTAGACATCTGACATAACCATTAAAAATGCGACGCGCTGGAAGTAAGTAAGTAAGGAAACAAATCAGACATAAATAAGCTTGGTACCAGGTACGGCAGCATTTATTTTTGTAGTGTTTGTAATAATCATATCCCAAGCTGTGATTTTGTAGCTAAATAAAATCACTGCTTTTCGTCTGGATCCTCGCATCCGAACTCCAAACAGTGATTATTTTTAGCGATAAAATCACTGTTGGATATACAGGATATATTATTTCTGAAATAATAAGCTTATCTTAAAAATATTTATTTTACGATGATTCATCTAAATATCATTCAATTTATCATCAGTATTTGTAACAAACAATAACAGAGGAAAAATAAATGAGATATGAGACAAACGACATAAGTGACAAAATTTATTTAATGACATTCATATCACAGTTGGTTATATTACACAGTAGTTTCTTTGTAATAATGTGTTGTATGTGCTCCACAGGCATGTGCAATCCTGACATCAATTTGGTCTTTTGTTACCTCGGTTACAGACGCAGTGCTGAGTGTGCTTAAAAGTTTTAACTGAAAAGGAAAGTGTATGTATATTTATATAAACTATGCGAATATAAAATCATACTAATCCAAGTATCAGAAATATTGTATGTAATACCTTAAAAAAGAGAAAAATATAATCCTTATTATAAAGAAGCCTTATACGGCAAAAATTTAAAATGCTGCAATGCCTGTGAATGGACAGTAGTGATTGCAAGCAACCGTTCGCACCCCCTAGCACCGGCAAAATTCAACATTTAATATGAACTGGAATAACCAATATGTTTTTAAAATAATCATATGGTTAATTTTTTTCATTCAAATATTTCTCGATATTAAACATGTTTTATGCCATTCAATGTTTCAAATTTTCAAAACCTCTTCAGGCTTATAATTACAAAATGGTTCAATGCATGAGTCCTTCTGTGTTATAATATTTTTACGTTTTTTTTTCAACTTCAGTGAACGTTTGTAAAGCCAAAGGTGGAATTAAGTTACCAATGTCTATAAGAAGAAACTTAGTAATCATTTTATTTGACAAATGTTAGCGTGTGTAAGGCATATTTTATACTTGTAACAAAACGTACCTCAACGGCCCTGATACCGGCGTCAGTATGTATCGCAGCTCTCTCGGCATCTGACAATGTGAACATGTAACATAAATGTCCATTTACAACAACCATCATATGCTGAAAAAGTCGAAATTTTATATGTACAAGGGGAAAACATTATGCCAAAGCAATAATTGTACATTATCTTTACTTTTATCAGAGTATGTTTCTGTTTCGTTGAAAGTAAAAACAAACTACAAAAATTACGTTTCTCCTTTCAAGCATCGTATCGCTTAAGAAAGCGTTGCTTTGAACAAAAGCCTTGTGCGCTTTGTCTTAAAACTAAGTATTCATTACTTATAGTTACAAATATCAAAGCAGCTCCACTGAGGTCAAAAGCTTAAAAGCACCCACTTTGAAATTCTTGCATCGATCACGTGATGCACTTATCATGTAAATATCTGCACAATAAAGTTAAGAAATATACTCAAAATTAAATTGAAAATCGATCTTAATGCGCTTTTAGTGAAAAGCGTTGCAACGCTTGTCAGTTATTTGAAAATTTTGCACGACAATATTGATTATTCTTGTAGTAAAGAGTGAGGGAATGATCTGAAAATGTGCAAGCAAGTTAGTCCAGACCTATATCAAATGATTCAAACGTCTGGGGAAAAAATATGTCCAGTTCCTTAATGTCAAAAGCATGATAACATTTGTTAACATTGATAAATAATTTTACATTCTTACCGTGTGTGGCTCATATGAAAATCTGAAAAATTCGTGTTCAGCGGGTTCAGATGTTGGTCTCGAGCCATGGGGGTGGTGGGTCTGATGAGGTTTGTGCGTTGTCGTCATTGACTGTAAAAAAAAACAAAACACAAACACTTATGCAGCGACTTATACACCATACATAACCAGTGAAACACAATATCCTTATTATAATCCATGTCACTAATTTCGCGTTATCACTTATTTTACAGTTATGGCACATTTCCATGTGAAAAGTTGTAAAATGTAAAATTGTTTTTTTTTGTGCACTATAATTAAAATATGATAAACAAGATCAACAAGGAAAGGCGGCGTTCAATGAACGCAACCCCCATATGACCCAGCAACAAGAACCAATGGCAAGGAGCCCAGGCGGACCCCGTAAAAACAGCAAAAAGCATTTCTGCAAAAAGCCCAATATGTCTGAAACAGTCTTTCTGTTTTCAAAATGGCCAACCCATTAAATCTGATTTGATGGAATATGTTGTTTTTTCCTTGTTGTTTCACAAAGAAAAAAATACTAAATGTTACAGCAAATGCTTTTTTTTTTTTTTTTGTACCATAAGTTACTGACTTTTCTTGTTTTGTCTTCTGACTTTATATCCTATTAAATTATTAACCCTTGATATGCTCTTTGGTCAATTTCCTACGTATGGAAACTCAAAAAACCGATAAACATCAGTGGGTCCAGTTGCTCAATGCTCTGTTAAGTTTTACCGTCCCTTAAATTAACAGTCCGTTAAAATAGCTATTCGACTGTTACTTAATAGTCTGTAAAACATTGTTGCTGAAAACATTATCACAACCTGTTAATAGGTTCGTTCAATCCCATTAATCCTCATTTTGTAGTTTTCAAAATGAAATCTGAAACATCAAGGTCAGATATCTTGTCTCAAAGAATCGTGTTAAATGGGTAAAAAGCATTAAATTTTTAATTTTAACAAAACCATTCTTCTCGAGGAAGTGGTAAAAGAACATTTGGAAGTGTTAAACTCAAATTCTAATTTATTTTAAATTATTCGTCTGTAAAACAGAGACCAGTCAAGTGCATTATTAAGGAGTATTTTGATAATTTGCATATGACTGTCATTGCCAATAAAGTCATGCATAAAATGTTTCTATGAACCCTCTGCTTATTTCTATCAGAGGTCCAATCCTTGATTAAATTAACAGACGGAGTCAGCCATTAAAGTGGACGATAAAATGAACCTTAATTTTAAGGAACAGAATTAAACGCAATGGTTAAATTTAACAGTGCGTTAGTGGATTAAACGGACAGTTGAATTTAACAGAGCTTTGATAAACTTGTCCCAGACCGATATTAAGTATTTAATATATAATACGGGTACTTACCATAGCATACGCCACACAAAATAAGCTAAGTACTACTGCACGGATCATTGTTAGCCACAGAAACTGTCGTCTACCAAATAAAATTGAATTTTTTAGCGCAATGCACTTTATTTATATAGAATAGTCTGTCGTATATTATCTTAAAAATGATAACATTTAGTCACGACAAGTACCGGATGCTTATGCTGACCTATATAAATAACGATGACCCCTTTAATTAGACAAGAAAAGAAAGTATTTAAGTGCTAATCTCAATAAAGAAAGAACGTCCTCGATTTTAGTTCACGTCTCAAACGAGTTCATTTTTTATCAACGTTCAAAAAATGTTTCACATATAAGTCATTATCTTATCTATATTGTAGTAGTTTAGAAAAACAACAAAGTTTGAGGTAGAAAAAAAATAGAAAGAATATCGGTACTGTTCGTTCTGACATGTACTCGCAATTCAACAAACTTAAAAAAAATTAAAAGCAACCATCATAAGTTGGGTCTTTAAATAAATCGTTACCAAGTATTTAATTGCAATTAGTTATATTAATCAATTGCTTTGAATAAATAATATTATAATATAACAATAATGTTTTTTATAGAGACGTTATAGTTTTCTAAAAAGATATACATAATAACTTATAATATCAAAATATTGATGTCACATTTAGTGATGCTCGGACTGAACTTGTCGAATGTAATTTGAAATAAATGCAGGACTTGTTTTACAAAATTTAATCAAAAAATGAAATTCCATTATAACTGAATAAAGAAATGTAATATCTATATTAAAGAATAAATAATATAAATTGGACATTTTATACAATAAATCACTAAGGAGTGGATTTCTTCATTACTTTTTCCATTGTATTTTAATGCTTTATCACATATGAAATTATTTAAATAAGGAAATTCAAGTAAAAACACGATATCAATTCAGTGAAAAGTTTCATGAATGGCATATATTACTGATTGTCGTAAATTTGAGTTTATATTAAAAATAAATGTAGTACATAAATATGCCAACACACATTTTGTAAGTTATGAGATTAATTGTTGCGCGTAAATTGTTATAAAATAAACTTTTACCATAAATAGATCCAGAGAAAGTGTTCTTTTGCAACGTTAATTTGTTTATTAGTGCTTGTTTGGTACAGGCCATCTGCTTGTCTAAGTCATAAATATTCTTATAAAATGTTTAAAAAAACATTTGATATGATATGAAAATGGCATATATAAAAAAATCATGTGTTCAGATATCTCAATTTATTGCAATATCATTTTTTAATTTAAGCTCACTTTAATCAACATTGTTTGCATTCGTTCAACTCTTGATTATTCTCTTTGATCTTTTTCTTGTATGAATCGTGCCCGTAAATTCCTTAATTGTCCTTAATATAAAATTCAAATGATCTTTATTAGTTTTCATATTAAGACAGTTTAAAGTATCAGTATGCCTATATATGAAATAAGCATTGTGATTACAAAAAAATAGAAATACTTAGTCTAGTAGTTTTTAACATTGTTAAATCAAATTCCGCTACTGAAGCAGTTGCCTGTTTGACTTGTTACAATTCAATTTATCTCAATAAATTTTCTCAAGATAAGCTTGATTTTGTTTCCGTTTCAAAATTCTATTTTACTAAGTTTCGTCCATTGTTTTCTCGTTCAAGCACCTTGTGAATTACATGCCGCTTTTCATACAATTGCACTTAAACGCCACAGATGATTACCGTATGAACACATTCCACCAATAATCATGTTGAATACTGTTTAAGTTGGGCGTGGACGGTTGCTTTGCAGTACTATTCATGGACATGCCCAGTTGAGCTGAGGCTCATACATTTTCAATTTTGTGGTTTTGCAGATTCAGGTTTTTCGTCATGCCACCGTCATAATATTTGTCCCCTTATTGAAGTTATGGTTTTACATGACAAATAGTATGTCGGATAAAGTCTGAAATTATAATTGTTTTATAAATCGAAATGAATTAACACAACGCTTAAATACACTTACCAATAGTAATTACATTAATTAAAGATTGTTTGTGTTACAGCGAATTAATAAAATTATACATTACATCATGCAAGTAATGTTGTATGTGCAGTGACCTTTTCCTTTATTTCGTCATTTGCTAAATTAAAACTTATTCTCTCACTGTAATAATATGTTTATAAGTATATCATATTTGTGATACAAGAGTCTCAGCTTTAGATAGATGCTTTATATATAGCTCTGTGGCTGTAACAGAATGAATAAACCTAAACAAACACATAGTAAAATGATGTACTGCGTATTTTAGACGAAAAAAAGACACCGTCTTTTGGCTATACTAGTCTAGCTTTTTCTCTAACCTTCAACGACTGTATCATTACAGACAATCAAACAAGGCTTATAAGCCGATGATAACATTATATATTATAATACTAGTAACAGCATATTAACAAGATATTTAGCAGTGCATATGTTGATGTTACAAAACATTATCACAAGGTAGTTATGACAGGAAAAGCTCATAATGACAACTTATTCGTTAGAACGTAGAAATGAAAATATTAATTTATGTAAATTTTGTGTTTGTATCATGTACCTTAACAACATAAATGTTACGTCTACTGATACCACTTTATTTGGCTACAAAAACATGTTTTTTGTTGTTGTTTTTTTTTGTTTTTGTTTTTTTTTAAAGTAAAAGCTTCTGGGATTGTTCGTGACAAAGATGTTAAAACTGTGCATTTATGCACATTCTAAACGCTTTCAGATTGTTATTAGGACAAAGCGGCAAATGACGATATTAAAGTAGATAAGTCTTCAATGGGCATATTTTCCAATAATAACTCAAATATTGATCAAAGCAAATGAAATGTATCATTTGGATATTCTTATAAAATGTTGCATGAAAAAAAAGATGAAAACAAGTGATGAAGTTCTAAGTGTTTTTAGTATAAACATTTATATGATGAATAATAATATTGCATAAAATTGCAAACATCTTTCTGTATAATTCTTTCGTGGTTTGTTTAATACTCAATACTATAAAATTGATATAATAATTCATTCTTTTTAGACAAATTCCCTTTTAAGTAGACGCTCTTAATGCATTATCACATTATCCAAAAACAATTTTCTTTTTCTTGTGCCTGTGACTACAGTTAAACATACGGTCAATGACTGGGCGCAGAAAATAGTTAGTAAAATTCTATAGTTCAGGTAAAGAAAAACACAGGATTAGATTTCTCAATGTAATAATATCAAAGGTTTACTATACTTGTATTTTTTCACTGTTTTGTTATAGATTCATATTTTTTCAACTATACTTAATGAAACCTGCGTCTACAAAAACAAACTGTAAGAAGAACAGATGTCAAAATAACAATTTCAAAACTGATATAGCAGACGTATTTTTATGTAAAATAAAGAAGTCTGGTCTTTTTGTTACATGTTAAATGTTTATTACCATAACTTTGTTATTTGATAAATATTATATCAAAATATTTAATAAAATGTTATTTTACGATTGTTACACCCATTTGTTTTGCGTTTTACATAGCATCAACACAATGAAGGGTCATATGGTTTCTTTCCAGCTATACTGGTCTAGGAAAAACTTAGGTGCCCCTCCGTGCATTATTTAAGGCACCAGTAGAACTACCGACTAGGTTGATAGTTTCCTCACACAAAAAAAGAAATCCAGTCACTTGCGGGATTCGAGCCAACAGCGATGAGGAGCATGTGGTTTGAAATCAACGACCTTAACCACTCGGGAAAGAACGCCCCTTTATAATGAATGAGTTTGTATCTAAAGCAATCCTAGGATGCAAGGAGATATATGACGCTTCTAGTTTATTACAAATTAAGTTAAGTTTTTCAACCATTCCAGCTGAAAGACAGTCACTATGACATCGACCACTAAGGGGTAAAGGCGACGATAGGAGAGACCCCTTAACAAGCGTGATCAAGAAAATATATATACTAAGGTTTGGTAGAAATTTGCAATGGGCGTGAATGGTAATTTTCATTACCAAAGGCCGTCTACTTGAAGTGTTGTATTTCCTACAGCGTTCACATTGTATTTATTTTAATTTTTGATACAGTAGATAAGGACATAATGTGAGACATTTTTAAAACTTGCCATCTGTTGCCCTACTTAAAACTTGTGAAATGACTAACATGTGTTCTAACTAAAATTGAGTATACTATAATTCTATAAACGGTGCTACAGCACTTAAAATATCTCATAGTCACGTCTGCTTAAAGATTCATGTTTGTTTAAATGGTAAATCCGGTATAAACAGGATTAGTGCGTTTCTAGCTGGTTTATTCTGCACTTTTAATCAAACTCGCAGAACTTTGAAAGTTGATATACATTTAAAAATGATGATTATAATTTCATTATAAAAAGTCATCCTTGAACCATTGCGGTCAAACATTGAAAAAGAAAAATGTACTAAGCTTTAAAAAATTCCAAATATTGCAAATTTGAATATATTTAAAGGCTTAAAGGAATCAAAGAATCTGCTGGCAGTTAAATTCTCTCGTTTTAACCTGGATTTCATGAAGGTCAATTATATAGACCTTTATTTAATTCTATTTATTTAATTTTGAATCTTGTCATACATCAAGTTAACACATACATGGCAATTAGTCTTGGCATAGCTATCAATCTTCTTTTTTAATTTAGTTATTTATTTCTGCTTTAACCATTCGTATAACTTTACTAAATTAATTCTTTTTTTTTCCATTTTGATATGAACATTTCGTAAACAAACAAGCATTACGTTTTGTATACTAGACTACTAAATATATATAAGTTTTAGTTTATCGAACTTTTAAGATATTTATTATCATAATTATTTTTGACTTTAATCGTTTATTTATTAAGTTTGTTTTTTGAAAATACTGTTAATATAATTATAGCCAATGTGCCGGCGCATGGTTTATATCCACAACCGGTTTTTGGTTTGATGCCTCCTGGATGCCCCTGTGTCGGGGGCTGCGTCCTTTGAACGTTGCCTTTGCCTTATTTATCTTTATTCTCGTCTTTTTTTACTTCAATTAAAATATAAAATCTAGAAATATTTGTTATCTTGAACTCGGTTGAAAGTATCAGGAAACAAAAAGAGCCTGTAAAAAATTATAAAAATCA